ATCCGGTGGCTGGACAGGCCCAGTGGCGTCTTCAAGATCGAGGACAGCGTCAGGGTCGCCCGTCTCTGGGGCCGACGCAAGAACCGACCCGCCATGAACTACGACAAGCTCTCTCGCTCCATCCGCCAATACTACAAAAAGGGCATCATGAAGAAGACGGAGCGATCCCAGCGACTCGTCTACCAATTCTGTTCCCCGTACCTCAACTAAACTGCCTACTATTTTGAATTCCTTCTCATCGTTTTCCCGGTTCGAGTATACATGTCTGTTTTTTTGTTTTTATTTTTATTTTCAAGTGTGGAGTCGGAGTTGCTGAGGTTCATGGCGCGGTTGTACCTGAGGAATTTTTTTCTCCCAACGGGGGTAAAACCTGTTCGGGATGATATTAATATTTTTTTTTACATTCGCGTTCGACTGGTGGTAATACCGTCGCGCGGATGATGTTTTTTCCTTGCTTGTTCCTTCCCTCCTTCGTTGTTTCGCACCTTTGCGTTGCCCGGTTGTGGCCGAGCGCTGCGAGAGGACACGACGCTTCTTTGGTGAAGCGTTCGTTTGTCCGACCCACGCTGTGGCTGGGGCACGGTTTGACCCATATATCTATGATATATCGTTTTGAGTAAGTTCTGTGAACGCCTCCATCGGATTGTAGAAAAAATTTTTTTGTGTTGATTGAGCCGGTAGAAGGCAGAGATTTTTTAAAACTTGTGTGGTTTTTTGTTGTTCTGGCCGTGGTTTTTATTTTTTTTTGCGGTTCGCGATCGGCGGGAGTTTTTGTTGATTCAAGTCGTAATAGTGTCCGAAGCGGTTTTTTTTTGGGTGGACCCGAAAAGGCTGCCGGTCATCGTCTACATAAATGTGACTTCTCCTGGGCTTTGTGGATTCGCGTATGTCTTTGTGTGGAGATTTTTCTCGAACGAATATTGGGGATCGTAAGGTGTTTTTCTGAGATCTCCGAGTGTGGACTTTTTAGTGTGTTGATTGTCCCTTTGTAGGTGCTATATACTGTGTAAATTACTTTTTTCCGGTCTTCATAATGGATGTTAATCGAAACGTGTCTCATCGTCAGGAAAATTTACCGGTTGGGGAAATAATAAAGGAGTCATCGTTTGCATAATTTTTGCTTCTTCGAAATTACTGCACTTCGTTGGAAATTATTTAGTATTGAGGCTTAACCCACTTCAAGTACAGTATTATACCCGATGGACTATGGTCCATAAATGGAGCATGTCGTTTTATGGAACGGTATATAGACGACGTGACGTGTCACTGGCTGAAGCATTTTGAAGAAGCTTCAGTAGAGAACGCGCATGCCTTTTGCGGAATCACTCAAATGGAGTCATGATGCTTCATTCCACAAGTAGAACCACAATAATTTTCTTAAAAATTTCCCCCACAACAGGCGGGAAGGCGCGCAAACGCCAATGCTACCCCAGAAATACAATTGCTGAGAACCTCTCATCCTGTAATCGGTGGATGTAAGAAGAGGTCAGAAGCTGATAAGTTTTGTAGCCGATTTAAAGATGGTTGGATTCCGAACCGGATGATGGGGATGCCTTCACGCAATTCAGACCCAGTGATAATAGGGTAGCCTGAATTACTGGCCATATGATTCAAAGAGTATAGATTGGTGCCGTTTGGATTGTCTGGATGAGGAGTTGAGTTCGAATGGTGCCTCACCCTTGCAGCACGATTTTCGTCCCACCCCTATTCCCTGGAGGAGCCCAGACGGGCGCCTCCACTACATAGGGGGCTATTCACTTCCACCCTCTCTCCTAATGTCCATGCAATCCGCGCCAATATAGTGTGTGTATCTGAGCAGGAATTTCTTGTTGAGGTAAGTTAAGGTTGAAAACTTACTATTTATATCAAACCTGATGCTGTAGCCTAAACTGTAAAATTTATTTGAAAAGGGTGTTCTTACCATGTTATTTTTCATTTGCCCTATATTATAGAAGTCTTCCCAGCAAATACTATACTGTACTGTACATGCCAGTAAATCATTCCAGTTGAATATCCCCCCAGGCCATTTTTCTGCCTTATTCATCCTGCTGCTGCTTTCGGAATTATTGTATGGTGATTCTTTCATCACCTGTGTTGAGAGCTCGCAAAGATTACTTACTGTGTTGCGATAATAAGTTTCATTTTTTCAATGATGTAAAAAGCTTTCCAACTGAGCTGGAATACACAAACCGCTCCTGAGAGCCAGTTGATTGAAGGAAAGAAAATATACCCCTTGTACACTGAGGAAATATATTTTCTGCAATATTCAGACAAACATTCGTTTTTTTTACAAAAGAGGAAAATTATTTGGGGAGCAGGACTTGAATGAACGCGCCCACCCGAAACCTCAGTCCCATTTCACAAAAAGGAAGAGTGGAACGTTTGGTGGTGTAGTTTCTCGCCGGAGAAGGAAGCCACGCCAGCGAAATTCCGCGCCACTGCACCCTGACCCCCTCACTCCCTATTCTCATCACTCTCTCCTTTACGCACACTAGTGACAGACCTGAGGGTCTGGGTTTACAGTGCACTGAGTGGTGTCACAGGAAAACTCCTATGTGCCAGGTCTAACGGTTTCTCATTACAAAGAAAACTTCATGTTTTGTCCGTAAAATTTATTTCAATTAAAATTCAAAACACTGGTTCAGTTCAATGATTCAGTTAAGCAATAGCTCATTACAGAAAAATTGTGATCTGCACTGTACAGCCCTTTATTGTTTTCTGTACCTCATCAAACTTTTGATGGCCAATAAGCAAGCATTTACAATGGATGCAGGTCTTGGTGATGATGTAGCAATTCATGGATTGGATGACACTTGGCTCTTTGGATCTGGCAATGGTTTAACTTACAGGTTTGCAAGATTAGTCTCAGAAGTCAAG